TCCAAATGATAAGAATAAGTCAATAATGATATGTTGAAAAGCTAAACTAATAAGTGCAATGGAATACAATAATCAAAGTGGAACAAAAGTTTACGCCTAGAATCGTCGTTGGAAGAATCTCATTCACGAACAAAAGTTTATGGGTGATTTTATATGTGTTTAAATATATATTTAATTTACGTAATATATAAATAAGATCAAATAATTAATTTCACAATATTATTCATCGATAAAAATTTTGTGAGGCGCGAGGGAAAATGTATTTACTATGAAGAAATTAGTTTAATTAGTCATTTGGATAGCCAGACACTCAAAAGTATGAGAAGTTCTACAGTGAGCAAAAAGTTCTACAGTTTGGTGTCCTTAATATACATAAAAAATAGTGTTACCAGTTTTGTTATTTTTTAAATAATAAAATCGGTAAAAAATTACTTAAAATATTATTATATTTTTAATATTTTCGGTAAAATGTCAAACAATAATAAAATCGGTAAAGCGTCCAATAATAATAAAATCGGTAAAAAAAAATAATATTTTCGATAATTTTTTACCGATTTTACTATTTAAATAATAATAAAACTAATAACACAAATTTTTAATCGTATATTAAAACTACTACACGTAATCATTTCGATTGGGTTGGTACTATTCGTTAATGGAATAATAATAATTTAAGTTTGCTTTTCGAAGTTTCTTTATTCGTTTTCTTTGAAGTGGAAGTTCACTTTTACTAATTCTTAACGAGTGAGTAGAATAAAGTTCTTATACCCGGATCTTACTTTAATCCCTTAAAATAAGGTTGTAAATGAGACGGGATATATCACGAGTTATTTTAGATCAATTCGGTCAAAGTTTAATAAAATATTCAATTCGAATGGGATCGAGCTCTTAATGAATCGAAATGAGCTACTCGATACTTGACTCAAAAAATTCGTAAGCAGTTCAAAGATATAATATATTAAGATTTTATTTTTTTAAAAATAAATTATTAATAATACCAACATTTATGTGTCGATTTCTTAAAAAAAATAGTATAAGGTTGCGTTTAAGGTTTAGCTTCGAGTTTGGGTTTGAGGCTTCAATCGAGTTAAATTTAAGATTGTTTTTCATTTCGAGCCTTTTTGAGCTTCGGTTCATGATTTCGAGTCCGAATTGAGCTTGAAAATTTTAAGCTCGTGAGTTTTCAAGTCGTGTCAGCTCAGCAATACTCGAGCTCGAATCAGCTCATTAAAAACCCAGCTTTAAACTGTTAAAATTACAAATTACACTGACAATCAAAATGTTATCATTAAACAAATGTCTCATATAAAGAAAAAGGAACTCTTGAAAGTAAATAGAGAAAATTATATTGAGATCCCAAAGTAGGAAAAAAAAGGTGCTCGTGAAAGTTGAACTCAAACCACACATTAGTAGTATATTTAAAATATTTTATATTTATATAAAATTTAATATATGGTTTAAAATATTCTGACATAATTATATCACATTAAAGTTTACTTTAATCAATTAATTAAACCAACAATGAATAATCTACGCGAGCACATTAAAACAATGATACATTGTTCTATACATTAACTTATAGTATAAAATATATATTTTTAAAAACAATTATAATAAAAATTTATTATTTTAGGCCGACCACCAAACATCATTTCTTGTATCAACAATGTCCAACAACCATTCTAAATTTAATTAATCTTTGCTTATTTTAGTTATTAGTGTGTTTTCCACCGGTCCGAACCTAAACAAGCCTATGAATGGAAATAAATCCCAGCCAGAAGACTTGCATTAAGAAATTCGTAATATATAATTTAAAGATGGACGGAGTGTTGGGAGTGCGACCGTATTTCTAAATTTTTTAAATTTCTTTAAATTTATTTTTTATTAATTATCTAAATTCACATAATTTTATAATTTTTAATATAACTTTTTAAATTTATATATCTTAACATATATATATATATATATTCGGAAACTCCGCTTCGAACAATGATGCATTGTTCTATGCGTATGAATTATAAAATTAGCCAATTATTTGTCGTTTTAGTACCTTATAGCGCCAGTCTTACGAAAAAATAAAATAAAAATATAAAGAATCTACGAATTAGGGTTAGTGAATGTCTTAATTACGAATTAGGACAAAAAATAAGAGGCTTAATTTAAAACGAAACCCTACATATGACTATTTTGTAAAAATACGTACAAATTGGGAGGACCTAAAAGACATTTTACCCTAAAGTCACGGTGACTAAACACTAATTTACCTAAAAGCCTTAAAATAAGCCTAATTTCAGATTAAATTAACCCTAAACCTAAAACTAAAAGGTTAGCCGCCTCCCTTTCTTTTTCTCAATCTCTCAAATCTCCCTACTATGGCATTCGCGGGGATAGCTCCGATGAAACAGATTAAAAAACAATTAAAATAAGATGTTACCGATTTTATTATTGAGTTAAATAATAAAATCGATAAAAAATATCAAAAATATTATTAAACGTTACTAATTTTGTTATTATTGAGTGTTTTTTATTAGATTTTTTTAAAAAAAATACCGAAAACATTATTAGGCTTAAAAAATGATCGGATTAACATAATATTTTAGGTAATTACCGAAAAAATTTAGGTAATTTTTATCGATTTTATTATTTAAACGATAACAAAACTGGTAACACCTTATTTTAACCGTTTTTAAGTCTGTCGCACTGCAGAACTTTCCGACATTCGCAGCTCGCGTACCCCAAACAAATCCGGTCGGCCATCGCATCGCCACCGGCAGTTCACCGACGTCAGAAAGAAAGAAACGACCACCGATCAAAGCGTTTCTTCCCTTTGAGCGTAGATCTGGGCTTCGATTGACCCACAAGTGCCACAAATGCCGTAGATCTGAAAAGATCTTCCTCGGTTTCTTGAACTCCAGTGACCTGGGACTACGATGACCCCCTAATTCCCACTCAAAGCCCTTTTAACCACATTCTAACCCCTAAACCGACTTCTAAGCCACCATTCAAAACTCTCGGCTCCCTTACACTCGGCGAAGATCCCAGACGAACGATCTTTATTCCCGGCGACGAGACTCGACTCGACTCCCTGACTCCGGTGAAGACCCGAAGTAGAACTAGGTAAAGCGAAACTAACTTCTCCCCTTCTATCTCTTTTTGTTTCGAAAGAAAAGAAAGAAAAACGATAAACATGTGGTATTGTATTTCGAAAAAACAAAGAAAAGAAGCTGCTTGTGTACTGCTTCTATTGCTTTTCGGAAAAGAGCGCCGAATCCCCTTTACATTTTTTTCCTTTTTTCCGAATGGCCTCCTCTTTTATATTGGTGGCGAGGAGGCTCGATGGGGACCATGAGAGGGACTACCAGCGTGGGAATATGTGATGAAACGCTCACAAAATAAGAAAGGATTTAAGAAGATAGAGAGAATAGAGTAAGGAAAACAGAATTCATTATCATTTCATTCATAATATCCATCTCATTACAACTGAATTTTATAGGAATTATTTACTAACAGTTTGCCAGCTGTAACATTTCTCTAACAACTTATATTAACCATTTCTATTGTCTTTTGTTGGCTGTAGGTATTGGGCTCATCATCTCCTGGTCCAATAAGCCTTGGTCTCTTGCTTCAACAGTCCACGCATGGCCCTCTTCATCAGGTAACATCTCAACCCCATCCTTAAACTCCTCATTTAATTTCCCAAACATAATCCCTAATTTTCCCGTATTTCCCCCTTTCTCCTCATCAGCCTGTAATTTGTTTCCTCGTTTCTTCTCATCATTCTCCCGTCTTGCCTCCTAGCTCGTGACAATACCCCCAGCTGCAATGGATGCTTGTCCCCAAGGATCAAAATCAGGAAATTAGGATCGTAGCACCGTAAAATCCTCCCAGGTAGCATTCTCAATCCCTAAATTCGACCACTGAATCAACAATTGAGTCACTGCCTTATTGTTTCTTTTAATGACTCGTTTATCCAAAACAATTGCAGGATAAACCCGAAGTTGTCCATTCGTAGTAAGTTCAGGTGGGTCTCGTGAAGCAACACTTTTATCCCCCATTTTTCTTTTCAAAAGGCTAATGTGAAATACCGGATGAAGTTTAGAATGAACGGGTAATTCTAATTGGTATACGACTGAACCAATTCGTTTCTGTATCTTGTAGGGACCATAGTATCGAGCAGATAGTTTCAAATTTTTGCGTAGAGCTAAAGAAGTCTGCTTGTAAGGCTGAAGCTTAAGGTAAAATTCCTCTCATTCCTTAAATTCCCTATCACTGCGATTTCTATCTGCATAATATTTCATGCGATGCTGTGCTTTAGTGAGTTGTTCCAAAAGGATACTATTGATATTATCCCTCTCCTGCATAAACTGTTGTGCATCAGCCACCCTTGTCTCGCTTGACCAAGTCATTGTTGGAGGTGTATAGCCATATAGGGCATGAAAAGGTGTTGTGCCCAATGCTGTATGAAAACTAGTGTTATACCACCATTCTGCGTGGGATAACCATTTAGCCCAGGAACTTGGTTTTAGAAAACACAATCCCCTTAAGTACTGTTCAAGACATTGGTTAAGCCTCTCAGTTTGACCATCCGTTTGAGGATGATAGGCAGTAGTAAACAATGTTGTAGTGCCCAATAACTTTAATAATTCCTTCCAAAAAGCACTAGTAAAAATTCTATCCCTATCAGAAAGAGCAATTTTAGGCTGACCATGAAGTTTGTAAACCTGGTCCATGTAGATTTTAGCAACCTCAGAAGCTGTAAAAGGATGAACCAGAGGTAAAAAATGCCCATATTTGGTGAATTTATCAATTATCACCAAAATAGAATTGAATCTATTAGAAGTAGGCAGCCCGTCAATAAAGTCTATAGTAATAAACTCCCAAGCATGCTGTGGAATATGTAAAGGCTGTAATAATCCAGGCTGTAAAACATGCTCATTTTTTATTCTCTGACAAACATCACATTGCTGCACATACTGTTTAACCAGTGCCTTCATTTCTTTTCAATAAAAATACAACTTCAGCCTGTAATAAGTAGCATGTATCCCAGAATGGCCACCTTGTGGTGAATCATGAAGTATAGAAAGAATCTGCTGTCTTAGACCACCTGTCTCACCAACATAAACTTTACCTTTGTATCTCAGAACACCCTTAGCATAGGACCAGTCTGCTATAGAATTATTATCAAGCAGCAACTTAGGAATGAAATCCTTTGCCAAAGAATCCTGCTCATAACTGTTTTCCACCTCTTGAACCCAAGCAGGAATAACAATTGTAGCAGATAACTGATTTAATTCTGATTTGTCTTCAAACTGTCTAGATAAAGCATCAGCAGTTTGTTATGTTTGCCCCTGCGAAACTGAATTGAGTAATCCAGTCCTAACAATTTTGTTAGACCTTTCTTCTGAATAGTAGTACTAATCTTCTGTTCTAACAAATGTTTCAAAGATTCATGATCTGTTTTAATAACAAATAGACTCCCTTCAAGATAATGTCTCCATTTAGAAATAGCCATTAATATTGCTATATACTCCTTCTCATAGATAGACAAATCAATTTGCTTTGGTCCCAAAGCCTTACTGAGGTAAGCAATTGGTCTGCCTTCTTGGGACAAGACTGCTCCTATACCCTTAGAACTGGCATCAGTTTCTAAACAAAATTGTTTTTTAAAATCTGGTAAAGCTAGCACAGGAGCCCTACACATAGTCTCCTTAAGTTTGATAAATGCCTCTCTAGCCTCCTCAGTCCAAAAAAATTGATCTTTTTTCAACATAGTAGTGAGGGTTTACTGATTTCTCCATAACTCCTAATAAATTTTCTGTAATAGCCAGTAAGGCCCAAAAAACCCCTCAAAGATTTCAAATTCCTTGGAATGGACCATTCCTTAATAGCTTGAATTTTTGAAGAATCTGTAGCTACTCCCTGTGGAGAAATAGTATAACCAAGGTACTCCACCTCTGATTGGCCAAAGAAACATTTAGTTCTCTTAGCAAAAAGCTTATTCTGCCTTAGAATTTCCAACACAATTCTCAACTGTTGTGCATGACTATGTAAATCAGGGCTGTAGATTAAAATATCATCAAAGAATACTAGGACAAATTTCCTGAGATAAGCTCCAAATAAATCATTCATAAGAGCTTGAAAAGTAGCTGGTGCATTAGTTAAGCCAAAGGGCATTACCTTGAATTCAAAATGACCATGGTGTGTCCTGAAGGCTGTTTTTGGAATGTCTTCAGGCCTGATCCGAATCTGCCAGTATCCAGATCGTAAATCCAATTTAGAAAAAAATTTAGCTCCAACTAATTCATCCAAAAGATCATCCACCACAGGTATAGGAAATTTATTCTTAACAGTTAAAGCATTTAACTGTCTATAATCAATGCACATTCTCCAACTACCATCCTTCTTTTTAACTAACAAGCAAGGTGAAGCAAATGGACTTTTGCTAGTTTGAATAATTGATGCTGCCAACATTTCAGCCACCTGTTTCTCAACCTCTGATTTTTGATGATAAGGCATTCTATAAGGTTTGACATTAACTGCTTCAATTCCTGATTTTAGAATAATAGAATGATCATGCTTCCTTATTGGAGGCATTCCAGTAGGCTCCTCAAATACATCTCTGTAATCAGCAATTACTGCTTGAATTGTAGGAGGAATTTCATTATAACCAATCTCTGCATTCAGCATATAGATCTCCCCAACTGCTTCAGGATTCTTAATCATCAATTTCTGCATTTTGTTGCTTGAAATTATCCTCATTGCAGTAGTGTGCAATCCTCCCCTCAATACAATCTCTTGGTCACCCATTTTAAAACTAAGAGTCATATTGTTAAAATCCATTAATACTGGACTATATTTCTTCATCCAATCAACTCCTAACACCATATCACTGCCTCCAAGAGGTAAAACCCTAAAATCATATGCAAAAAGAAAATCTTGCATCTCCCAACTCAGTTGTTTACTCTTTGATGTACTATAAAGTTTATCACCATTAGCTACTGTGATAACTAAGGGATTAGTTTCCTCCAATTCCTGCCCTTCTTTAGCCCACCTATTAGTGACAAGACTGTGGGTGCTGCCACTATCAATTAATATACTGAGTGGTTTCCCTTTTATGAATCCTTGAATCCTCAAGGTACTACTTCCTGAACTGCCAGTAATTGCATTCATAGAAATCTCAGGATCTTTTTCTTCTGATGGTATTTTATTAATATTATTTTGAGCTGCTTGTAATTCTTCAGCCTCCTCTTGCTCCTCCACTTCTTCCATAGAATTCAATTGCTTCAATTTGCAATGATGTCCTGGAGTAAACTTGTCACCACATTTATAGCATAAATTATTGGCCCTTCTATAATCCAGTAGCTGCTGTCTGTTTGGAGTGAGCCCTGAACTGTTTTTCAAAGGTGAACTTACTGAAGGATTAGAATTCCTGGAACTGGTAAAATTCCCTGGCAGCATTGGTCTGGAAATACTTCTGAATTTTTTACTTTCCACTTCTGCTGCTAGCTCATAGAGTTTTGCTTTCCTAGCAGCTTCAGCTACAGTCTTGGGTTCCAAAACCTTCACCTTATGCTTCAATTCCTCCTTAAGACCACTCAAAAAACTGGAAACAAAATACTCATCTCCTAGTTCAGGATTAATCTGAAGAAGGTAAGGTTGAAGTTCCTCAAACTGAGCTTCATACTCCTCCACAGAGGACAGTTGAGTCAATTTATTAAATTCATCAATAACATCAATATATCCTTTATCAGCAAATCGATGACACATATCAGAAACAAACTCATGCCAAGTAACTCGACTTTTCTTCATAATATACCCATCAAACCACACTTCAGCCTTACCAGTAAAGTACATGGCAGCTATTTCTAACTTCTGTAATTCAGGAACAACAAATATAGAAAAATATTTCTCACATTTCCTAATCCAACTCCTAGGATTAGTACCATCAAAGAACTGGAGCTCTATTTTTGGTTTCGGAAGAAACATACCAGTGTTGTTATTGCTGGAATATTTTTCCATAAATGGATGACCCTTACTGACAGATTGTTCCCCTGACTCCGTTGTATTTACTGTTGTTTTCATCTTAAAAACATCCTGTGGCAAGGTAGGCTTGGATGCTAGGATTCCCTGTTGTTCTGGTTGAAATGAGTATTTCTCCTTATCATCAAGGACTGTAACTTGTAATGGCACTTTAGTTGCATCCTTTATCTGAATTGTTGGTGCTTGTGGTCGTTCTGCAGGAGTAGATTGCCCAGATTCAGCCCCAGCCTTCTGCATCAACCCCAATAGTTGCTGAAGCATGTTCTTCGTGTCAGTTGTTGTAGCCTCCAGTAGTTGCATCCGCTGCTCCCAAGTACTCTGTTGAGTAAGCCACCAAATTGGAACTGGCTCCACCTCATAAGACTCTGCTGGATCAGCAGTAATGACCGGCGGCTGATCATTGTGAGTCATCTGCTGCAATTTCCTTGTCTTACCCAGCTTGAGAAAAAAATTAGTATTTTTTGAACAAAAATGGCCTTGCTCTGATTACCAATTGTGATGAAATGCTCACAAAATAAGAAAGGATTTAAGAAGATAGAGAGAATAGAGTAAGGAAAACAGAATTCATCATCATTTCATTCATAATATCCATCTCATTACAACTGAATTTTATAGGAATTATTTACTAACAGATTGCCAGCCGTAACATTTCTCTAACAACTTATATTAACCGTTTCTATTGTCTTTTGTTGGCTGTAGGTATTGGGCTCGTCATCTCATGGTCCAATAAGCCTTGGTCTCTTGCTTCAACAGTCCACGCATGGCCCTCTTCATCAGGTAACATCTCAACCCCATCCTTAAACTTCTCATTTAATTTCCCAAATATAATCCCTAATTTTCCCGTGTTTCCCCCTTTCTCCTCATCAGCCTGTAATTTGTTTCCTCGTTTCTTCTCATCATTCTCCCGTCTTGCCTCCTGGCTCGTGACAGAATATCAGCTTGTTGTTACATTGGTGCACGAGGGACTTCGATGGGGACCAGCGGGATGCGAGGCTTGCACATGGGAAGCGATGTGGCTGCTGGAACGCAGGGACACCATCGGAGGTGGCGACAACAAAGAGTAACCTAGGGTTTCACAAGTTTGGCACTTGGGCCAATTGGGCTTTGGCTAAATGGATTTGGGTTTCGATTTTGATTGTAAAGTGGTTAATGGTTTGGGTTAGATGATATTGAAATGAGTTAATTGGATCTGAAGTGTGTAAATGGACATTCATCTATTATTTTAATTAATTAATATAGACAAAATCAAATCAAAGAATCGGAAAGCCATATGGTCTTTTGTTTATTTTAGTTTATATTGATATATATAATTTTATAATCTTAAATTTAAGTTCATACTTATTGACATGGAATATGTGTAAGTCACTAGATAAGACGTTAAATCTTTTAAATAATACCTAATATTTAAATTTTTATGTAAATGAAATAAATCAAATTAAGAGAATCATTTTTATAACAAACTATAAAATGCTCAATTTTTCATATGTTTATTATAAAATTTAGATTTATAAATGTAAAAATTTGTATTTAATCAAGGTGAACAGAAGTTGTGTATAGTTAGATAAAGACAAAGTAAGTCTCATTCTTCTTATTTTGTTGGATTTAATTGTCTTTTGAGTCCTCCAAGTTTTGAAATTAGGTGAATTAGATCTCTGTCTCTCAATACCAGATAACATCTATTCGGAAGACTCTCAATCATTTAACAATGAACGGTCATACATTGACGCAGATGTCGTGTTCAAACCTGGGATCTCAATGAATAACAACATCTTAACCACTTAGGTCTTTTTTTTCATTCATTAAAATATCAACTTAAACATCGAAAACATCTCGAAATACAAAATTCAATGTCCGGTAATTAATATTGTAAACATATACATATACAGATATCTGATCCAGCCTACCACATATATGGAAAAAAAAGTGTAAACATATACATACACGCATATATACATATACATATATCTTGCATGCACTGTTCAAATGTCAACCTTTCCTTTCGTTTTATAGTGATCAAAATTTAATTGTTGGTGAAACAGAAACCGCGGCTTCTCGGGATATATATATATATGTATATGAAAATGGTTGATCCATAGAGGGAAGAGACAATGGAGAGATGGTTGAAAGGGAGCATGATGCATGACTTTTCTTTATCGAGTTGCTGCATAGGCCACATGGATGGCTAGCTTTGTCGGAAGGCTTAATTATAAAGGTTAATTTAAAGATATTTTAATTATAAAAATGGGAGATAATATATGGTCAGTTAAATTATTGATTTGATTATCCAAGAACCAGTTGGATACTTGAACCGGATTACAATTTTCTTATACGATTCTTAATAATTGGAGGGGGAGAGAGAGAGAGAGAGAGAGAGTGGAATAGATAGATGAGAAGCACATGCATGAACGGACCAAAAGGGTCAAAATCGTAATGGGACTAATAATAATAAAAAAGAAGTTGGCCGTTTGATTAGTTAAAGATACCACTGGTGGCAACTGGCAAGTGTGTGGAATGCATACTCTGAAGTTCCAAAGAGTCAAGACTCGACAGTGTAGTTGAGCTTTTGGCGCGTGGTAACGTTATTGGTCGGAGAGCAAAGCCTGTCCCACTCGCCCACTTGTGCTGACATTTTCATGTTCAAACAAACTGGGAGGTCTATTGTACGACAGTCTAGTTCAAAGCTCAAGAACAAATAACAAATAACAAATAGACGTAAACAGAAATGTTTAAATTTTTTTTGGTTGAGTGTAATTTAATATATTAATTTTTTAATATTTTTAGTTGAATTGAAAATATTACGTAAAAGATGACATTTTTAATTATCAAACGAAAATATTATGAATAAGGTGTACAAATGGAAAATGTTTGGAAAAATTTTAAAATTTTAGGGTTTACCAAACTAAAAATATTATGTTTTAATAATAATTTTAATGGCAAAATGTTTTATATAATGGTATTGAGAAAAAGAATTCGTGAAATAATTATTTGAAAAAATTATTTTGTGAAATGGGGATGATGCTACAGTAACAAGGTTGGTTGCCATCCCTTCCATGCGACACCAAAGGGTGTTTCTCGGCTAAATGTGTCCGTGTAATATATAACCAACATTTTTAAAGCATTATTGGTACCAATAATATCACCAATTATTCACCTAGCTATTCACCAATTAATTCCAATTAATTTTTGGCTTTTGCATCAATTGTTTAAAATTTTTTCATGCATGCATGCTCCATCGCATTCACGTCGCTGCCATTCTGGCTTACCAGACAGCAAGGGAGCAGAGGCTGGGGAATCACGGGCCAACCTTGGATTGCTTGGCGACCTATCTCCAAAGGCTGCATGAAGCGCTCGGACGACATGACGATCTGCACAGGTCGCCCGAAGCACCTGACGACCAACCCTCTTACTGTATAAATCACGTTATTTCAGCAAATAATTGATCAAATGCAATTCGTGAAGAATTTTTCTTTTTCAAAGCATTACGTGGGCAAAATAGCCACTTTTAATTATACACACTTTCTATTATTTTTTAACCTTAAATTAGTCTACTGTGAAGTACACATTCTCCAACGCAATGCCAACTAAATTTCAATCATTGGAGCGCGGGTTATTCTGTTATAGTTATAAACACCAAGCACGTAAGAGTAAGGATAAAAAATTCAATTAAATACTTTAAACAAATTAAAAATAAAAATAATTTTTTATCAATAAAAAAGATTAATATCATAAATACTACAATATAATTATATATCATAATGGTGATCTGTTAATAAATTAACAGATAAATACTTTATTTTAGTGATTTAAATGTAAATAATATTTTATAAATAAATCCGTTACACGTGAAGATGCTTTCTTTTATATATATATATATTAATTTTAAATTGTAAAAACAATAAAGGTTATTTTTAAAAGATTTTTGTTATTTGGTAGTGTGTCCCCAAATCCACGTTTGTTAGGATGAATAATATTTCCGTTTAATATTATAATTATATGATGTTATTTGCATGGCCATGGGTTTGACAACTCACAACAATATAGAGTTTAGGATGAATAAAAAAAAGGGTTGAAATTATTTATAAAATGTAAAACTATTTTAATTTTATATAGGTTTAAAATTATTAGAATGATGAAAATAAATATTCGTTTATCTTATTAGTGTTCATCTTATTAGTTTATTTTCGTTTATCTAACGATCTTAAATAGTTAAATTTATATAAAATTTAAAAAAATTAGGATAAAATACACAAATGATCCCCTGACTGTGAGATATTGTTTTATTGAGTCCCTTAACTATTAAAAGTTACAAAATGATTCATCAGTTATAGGGAGCTACTTTGTTGAGTTCCCTGATTATTAAAAGTTACAAAATGGTCACTCGATTATTCATTATGTTTCAAATTCATCATTTTGGTTAAAAAGTTGACGACCATTTAAGTTAGACGTTAAAATACTGACTGAGATATGATATTCGTTTAAGATTATGACATCAGATTTTATCATTTCTTAATTAGACAATTAATGTACAACTCAGATTGTTGTCGATTTTTTAATAGAAAATGAGGAGTTTAGAACATAATGAATAATTGGATAATCATTTTATAACTTTTAATAATCGAAATACTTAATAAAATAATATTTTATGATCACAATCATTTATGTACTTTATAAAAAAAAAAATTATAAGGTGTGATGAGATTTTATATACGAATAAAAGTCACTGTCTGCCTGCCTGCTCGAAACCACCCCTGTTTTCCATTAGCACAGGTGGGCTGCTGCGAATATCGAAAACGACAGGCAATGAAAGCTTAGGCTTTGTTTATTGTTTTAAATCTATTTAAAAACCACAAAATTACATGAAATTTTAACATTTTAGAGGCTTGACGAATTTCTCGGATCTGAGAATATTTTGTCTGATAACAAAAATCAATCGACCTACAGCAGTAATCGAACGGGTTAATATTTTAGGGCTAATGGCTTTACACTGGGCCTTTTAAATACAATAATCTGATAATCAGTGAAATTAGTATCGGGTAGTTGCACGTGAATTTCATGGACTTTTTGGGTATTTGGATTTGGTGAGTGTTTCGTTGGAGGAGGAATGAGTATTTTAATTACCAATCGATTAATTCAGTTGATAAACAATTTAATATCATCTAAGTAAAGTCTTAGATTCGAGTTTTTGTTGATGCAGAAAATTCATGTTAAGAGACTCACCACTAAATCTAGATGTGTAACTCGAATCGACCTAAATTAATCAGGACAAAACCTTAAAATCGAAGGTTAACCAGAAAACAACAGCAACTGTGTTGGTTTTTCTTCAGTGGCGTGAAAGAGCTTGACACGATAGATCCATTGGATCTTACGATTTTAATCAACAAAAGATTTCTCAAACTCATAATTTTTTTTAT